AAAAAAAAAAAAACATGATACATGGTATTACATTTAATTTGATCATCGTGTCGAACACATCGTCAAGTCTGTTTAAATCACGAGCATTGTGAGGGAGGAGAAAAGAGCCGATTTCAAACAATCGATATACTTTCGTATACACTAGGTCCATAGCAAACACATTAGCGTGGTGTCCTATTGAAGTTGTACTTTCATATTAGTAGTTGCTTTTCTTGCTAACTAGTAAATAATATTATTACCTCCTATCAAAATGCCAAACACGGGTGTATCTTCTGGAAAGTCTTTTTTCAACATCAGATCCACTTCATCCTTCATTAGGTTTGCTAGTTTGGTAAAGTCGGGATGGTGTATTTGATCTTCAGATACAATTTTGGGACTTTTGATTTCCATTTGCAGAATTTGCTGCCCGTGCTCTTTATAAACTACTTTTAGACCACCATCTGATATTCTACCATAAACTCCCCTTCTTTCTTTGCTGCCTTCAGATTCATCATCATTGCTTAAAATAAAGAGTAATCATTCAAAAAACACTGTTTTATTTGTCTTGTTCATAACAAAGGTTCTTACCCAAACTGTTTCAAGTATTTATTTTCTCTCAAGAAAGGTGATAGCAATGGAGTAACAAACTTCTTGATGAAGAGGCCTTCATTGTAACGGGGAGAGGGCGGCGAACCGTGTTCATTTAAACTAAGAAAAAGACAACTATTAATAATAATCTGACAGCATACTCTAACTAGAACAATGTCTTACAAATTTACAATAGATTGGCACATTTTTTCTTTCGCCCCTTCTTCGTCAAACATCAAATTGTTTGCCATACATTTTGCTTTCTTAATGTCTTTCTTTGCAAGCTGCAGTTGTAGAAGCAATTGATCATTGTTGACAAACAATTATAAATTATATTCGTTATGGTAAATTACCTTGTATATCTTCCTTAATTTTTCAACTTCAAACTTATCGAGTTCATCTAAATCGACTTCTTCTCCAACATCATACTTCTCTTCCAATTCTTGAATCATCGCTTTATGTGTACTTTCTGAAATGCCATTATATTTGTTGTGTTTAGAAGATATGAAAAAAATACCGTTTATTGCTCTACAAGCAACAGAAAGTTAATTTACTACACAAGAAGGGTTGGTGCAATAACAATTTCCAATTCTTCAATACAGCTTTGCAGTTTTTTCCCTTTTGCTCCTTCTTCTTTACATATCTTCCTAAACTGTAACAGCTCTTTACTAACATCATTCCCATGAACACACCACTTAAACTTTGTAGTCAGTATACAGAGAACATAAAAAAGTCTCTTTTCTCTATTATTTTTACCTTGACATATTCAAGTACAGGTTCGTCTGCAATCGGCCTTCCTTCCAAATAATGGTACATCTAAAAAAGGACACATTTATATACCATATATGTTTATAATAACTTGCATTACTTACTGTTTTTACTCTTTTATTTTGGACTTGTGCAGTGACGGATCCAGTGGGTTTGGATTCATCAGCGGTTTGGTTAACAGCAGTTTTGTCAGTAGTGACAGCGGCGGTATCGACAGTAGTAGGTTCATCTAAAAAAAAAAAAAAAAAAAAAAAAAACCTTCAGTAAGTTCATTTGTTGTACCTCTTCTACAACTGAGCTGTGGGACCTCTTGTGAATATGCATAGTTCCAGTACCAAAGCTGAAGTAACGAAACTTGCTGTTGCTGAAGTTGTTGTTGATCGTGACACTTGGTTCGCTTTGCTTTCTCTCGCTGTGATGTATGTAAAAGTAACTTAATATATTGCACAACGCTACAAATGTCTTTCATAATTTTACGTCTACGTTATTAGGCTTTACTACTAGAGTTTTTAGATAGTCTTTGATTTCATTATCCTTTAAAGATACACTAATGCCGTTAAGACACTGGTTATATCGCTTGGCCAGAACGTCTGAGACATTAAAATGACCTCCTCTCTGTTTGATAATATAGGATTTGTAGGTCTCGAAATTCCAATCAGAGATTTTGTATTGTGAGAAAAAAAGCAAGTCGCTTTTGCTAGGTATAGCGATGTAGCGATCAAGATTAAGCATTTGTAAAAGCAGAAGAGTGGTAAGAGCAAAAGAATTTTTAGGGCAAAAGAGTTTTCGGAATAAAAGAATTGTATGGGAACAAAAGAGCTGCAAAAATAAGAAGGATAACACTTAGTGCAATTCAAATTTCAATTAGAGCAGGCAGAAATGCGTCGTTTGGCTAATGTTAGGCGCACGCCCTAAAAATGGAGTTTTGCTCTTTGCACAGCACATCTGCACAGCATTTTCACAATAGTAGCGTAAGCAATTCAATTTGCACTGGACAAACCACAACTACACAACACTATGTACATCACTGAAGTATAATGGAGGTATGTGTTGATGGGCCTGTAATAATTTCTTTATTATGTTGAGAGAGGATTCGTTATTCACTTTATAACAGGATTATTGCATGAATTTATCACGGCCAATAAGAATTGGGCATGACGCGTATATAAGAATAACGCATTTTGTGGTCACTTTTCTTTTGCTTTTCTTTGCCTTCAAGTAGCATTTTACGACAAGATGAAGCTCTTATAAGGTAAATACGATAGATATGCTGTTTGCTGTGTAAATCGAATTGTTTACGTCACTAATTGGGAAAATGATGTGCAGATGTACAGTGCAAATAGCAAAACCCTAAATTTCTGCTCTGATACAAGATAATGACCTCAATCCTACCAACAGGGTTCTGCTGATCATTCGGAACATGTAAGCCTTTTAGGATACGAAGGTTTTTCAAATAAAAATTCAAACCGTTGATAGGGTGAAAAAAACTACCTCGTCATGCCGTTGAAGACGGGCCCAAGGAAACTGAATTAATCACAAGGCATTTGGAAGCGATCCTGGCTCCTCTTTTCGAGGATTTGGATAACAACATTGTTTTTTCGATGATAAATAAATAATTTCGGTGGGAAGGAAATGGGTATTGCAGAGAAGAGTGAGATTTGACATCCATAATGCAAATTGAAGAGGACATCTGTCAACGACAAGGAAAAACAAGCTACTACACGACCTGATGCCTCGATCAATATCATACATGGAGCATCCTTGAGTAAACGAATTGGCTGCGGCGAGGTCAAAGCCGAGTATCAGGCTTCCAATCATCGGTTGGCTGGCATTGATCTGATGCGCATCACAGTGTTGGCCAAGGCTGCACCCGATAAACACAGGTTGAAAGCCATCTTTGCCTTCATTATTGTCGGTAAGCTTCGATTGCGTTTCATCGGTTATTCGCATCTTCACCTTTCTTTTTATCATAGGCAAATATACCACTTTTTGCATCCTTAATCGCGCCCAAACGTATCTGTATACCATGTGTGAAATCGCACACATCCAACCCCCTTTAACCCTTGATCATGTGATGTTCTTTCTTTCACAAGTGAATAAGGTTGCCAAGACCATTGCCTGCTTCCAGCACACCACAAATAGCGGCAACCAAAATCATGTAAACGACTCAACTACACTCATTGATAACATGCTCTATCATTCCACGGCTCCCAAATTATCGCGCAAGCGAAAATCGATTGCAAGCCATTACAACCATTGATCACCCTCCCTTCTCCTTTTGCGAGCATCCCCTTTCCTTTGTGAATATCTTCCCTTTTTGGATACACCCTCCTTCAACTCCCAAAAAAAATAAAGTACAGCCGATCGTTTTCTTAAATTTGGCCCTCGTTCATTTGGTTTCAAACCGATTGTCGCAACGAATGCACTCGATCGACATTGTTGCAACAAAAGGAACAATTTTAAAAAATAGCTGGAAAGGAAGGAGTGCTTTTTTTTTGTTGCACACGGAAAGGTGGTGACGCATCCAGCAGCTTTAAGCAGCTACTTTTTTTTTTTCAGTTGGGTTCGAGGAATTGTCATGACACCATCCCTCCTCCTGGATCAATCTCACTTAGGCCAGAGGTGGCATGATTTCATCGATTTCCAG